CTGAAGAGTTTGCCTCCATAGAGGGAACCCTCAATTCTTCCCACAGCTGTCTTAAGGCAAACCCTTCTCCTTTTTTGCTGTGCATTTCCTTGCATGAAGCTCAGCAGAACCAGGTCTGGATGAGTATAAAGCTAGGGCTTGGCTGCTTTGGGCTGTTAGTGTGCTGCTGGACTTATTCAGTCCTAAGGGCCTTTCTTGCTGGTAACTTTGGTATAGCGCAACTCAGAAAGTATGTCCTCCCATAATCCTCATGTTGTTCTAACAAAATACGGTTTCAGTATGACATCCCAGGATTTTTGTGTACTCCTCATACACGGGAGGGCAGATTACTGCAGAACACCATTCACACCCAACAACAGTAGATAATAGTGGGGTGAGAGAGGTAGGTCTGTTATACACCTACTGATGGCCAGAGGCGCTCTGAAATCTTGGACAAACTTTTTTTCCTTTTTCCTGATACTGTCTTGTTCTGACATTTGTGAATCGGACCTAATGACTGACTGCTCATCGTTGGAGCAAGCGCTGAGCCCTGGTGATGCAGAGCAAGACCACGAGATGGCAGCAGTGTAAAGCAGAACCAAAGCTGTTGGTCATTAAACACCTTATTTTGTAACTCGTTCCCTCCTGGCTTTTATCACTGCACTTGGTTTTCTTCAGGAATGTAAATATTAGCAGAAAAACATAAGAGGAAACCCATCTTAAGCCTTATTGGTCTTCTAATATTTGAATGGAACAACCTTTCTCTCCAAATATTTTCAATCCTTGACCTTCTAGGGTAACTTTTAACCCATGGAATAGTTTTCTTGTCAATCTGCCTGGTATTCACACAGATTAAGTTAGGTTGATGTCACCTTCTCCCAGATCTTTTCTAGGTGCTGTTGGGTTTTTAATTCCTTCCTGTAGCATTTCTTCTTCATATTCTGCGTTGTCACTGTGATGTGCTGGATCAAAGCTTTCACAGGTGTGGCTATCCTGCTCTTGTGTTTTCGTGGGCTGTATAGACATAGCACTTATGTGCTGTCCAATAATATGTCATGTTTTACACCATCTACACATCACAGTTTATTGGGAGAAACAGTATTGTGAATCAATATGGAGTAAACTGAGATCACATAACAAGCTGATTAGTAAATACACTGTGTGGAATATAATTAAAGTCTTTTGTTGTGCCTGTGGTTGGTTTGTTTGTTTGGTTTTTTCCTTTAGCATTTAATAACCTGCACTATGAAGGGAATCTGTTGAGCTCTGACAACAGAGGTAGTGAGGTCCATCTTGATCTAGTCAGAATTCCCTTTAGCAGTATTGAGTTTCTGTAGTTCACAGACTAGACTGAAAACCTATTGATATAAATCACAGTGCTTTCTTGTCTCTCCTGCTGTGACTGCAAGCCATGTAGGTTCGTCCTCTGCCAGCCAGAACTTCAGGGCGTATGTCTGGGCTTCCTGGATGACCTTACGGAGGAAGAAGGTCCTCATTTTGTTCTTT